GGGGGGGGGGGGGGGGGGGGGGGTGTCGATGGCTGGTTTTACTGTTGTTGGTTTGTGGGTGAAATTCACAGTAAAATAAAAAAGATTATGAGTCATGACATTATTTTCATGACAATTTAGCACATTTAAAAATATATATTAATAATAATAGCAACAATAATAATAAACAAATGCAGTATTACATTTATGCTCTTTGCATAACTGTCAAAAAAAGTAAAAAAAAAAAAAACAGAAAAATAAATAATAATAATGGTCCCAAAAATAGGCTTCATTTAAAAAAAAAAATTCTTCCTAAAAATTTCTTGGCCAGGATATGTTTCAATATCCCTTTTAAGTCACATGGTTACTTTCTTGTTTTTTTTTTAAACGGTGCATCAAGAATTTGACTGAATTCTTACCTGAACACTGCTCTGTGGCTCTGTTCTCTTTCCTCTCCATTAATAACACAGGAGAAGAATCCAAACTCAGCAGCTGAGTGGGAGAACAAACGTTCATTGTCACAACAAGAACAACAAAGGATAGAGACATTTCGGTAGGAACTGCTGGGTGAATTTCATCATCTTGATCCTGGCTGTTGAAAGGCGGGTCTGATATTAGCAAACCCATAAATGAAGAAAACCTGTTGTTCTTGCAAAGTCTTGGCAGAATTCCTGAAGGGGTGCCACAAGGTTCAACCCTTGGCCCTTTGCCATTCTTTCTGAGCCTTTCTCACACCGCTCTTGCCTTCACTTGGTGTATCCACCGCATATTATTGTAACATACCAGAAGTAAAAAATAAACTCATAAACTTGGCATTGTGGACAGTGGAAGTGTTTCATGATCAAAGGTAGCCGAAGCAGCCACGAGAAATGGCTAAACGAATTTTAGAGTACTTACAATATTTAAGATCTGGACACATTTGCAACAACCCCTATGTTAAGAAAATTATTTTATTTTTAAAAAATAAATTCAAATGCATTATTTTCTAAATTCCAAATCAGCTTCTATTACCCACCAGAGAAACGTGACTGTCCATTCACAAAGACGTTCATGAACTTGCGGGAACGAGGCATGTCTGAGGTGGTGTCTGTGGTGGAATCCGCAGACAAACAGGAAGTGTCTCTCCTCATGCTTCTCGCTCCTGACTCTTCCTCCTCTTCGTCCACTTCCTGATCCTCCTCGTCCTCATCGATGGCAGACTCATAGACGGTATTGTCACTGTCACTTTCATAACCTTTGTAGCAGTCCTTGATACTCACTAGCTCGAGCTTAGCATGCTCATCAACCACCAGGGTGTACTTAACCGAGTCATACGTCAGTCCCGAAGCATCCGTGCTGACTGCCACTGCCTTTAAGTTCCCTGTGTCCTCCTTCACCAATTTAGGCTTACGGGTTTCAGCCCACTGACAAGCGTCCCCCGCATTTCTGAGGCTGACAGTCCGGCATGGGGGCGTAGGTGGGTATACCTCATCCTCCTCACTAATAGAGGGGTTCGGACACCCCGCTGATGGGTAGTAGTGAAGCGGAGGAAGCTCTGTGTCCGAACTAATGGACATGCGGTTGCTGTCGCTGCTCTGGGACAGAAATGGTCGCTCTTGTTCACCGTTGACTGGTGTGAGGTGGATCTCCTCTGTTGCATTTCCTTCTGAAATGTGATAGTCCTTGTTTTTGTCGACCAACTGGTCACACGTACCTTCATTTTCCGCAGGATACTGCACTTGTTCCCGATAGCCATTGACAGTGTGATACCGCGCTTTTTCCTTGCAAATGGTTGGGATGTCAAGGACACCCTCTATCAGGGTCGTTTCCGTGGATTTTTCCCTCATGACTGTCTGCGTAAGGGGTGCTACCACATTGGGCTTGTTCAAAGGCTCGGACAACTTATCCTGCTTCTTGGTGTGAAAGGCTGAGGCTTTGTTCGTGGAGGAGGCAGGGCCCCGTGGTTTGGTGCCAGCCCTGGCCTGAACTTTGTCCCCATCGGTCAGGCTAACCTGCTCAGGTTTCACCGCGGGATCTCCTGTTTCACACACACACAGAAGATTATACATTAGGCAATAAGCCTAATGGAGAAAAACATCTGAAGAGGATTATGTAAAATGTCAGTTAATGCCACAGTTAAAGCCACGCCAAATGCCAAGTTTAACTCAGCACAGGAAGTAATGAATCCTGATTACTTTTAAACCAATGTAGAAGGTGAATATATGATATATATGGTATAATATATGAAGGCGAAGTGTGTAATTTTGTCAACTAAAGAAAGGTACCATCAAATAATATGAGATCAAAGCTTCCTTAGTACCAAATGTATGAACCTAAAATTAAAACAGTAATGAATTTTAAAATCGTAATGCAATGGAAGTAGCTGCAACAGTAGTTTTTATCCATATTGTGACGTACATTCAAATGAAACACATTATCGAAAAATAAAATATTGTAGGATGGGGACTTCTTTCAATTGTTTGCTGATTGGATGGAGCCAGATCTTAATTGGAGAAGTTTGTCACCAGAAAGAAGTCTGTTGTTTCAACAAAAGATCCAATTATGACATTTTGATTAAGAATCGCAAGGTAATAAGAGGACATGAATATTAATTGTTCACAATAAGATCAAAAACATGGGTTTATAAAATAGATAATAGAAAATAGTGTGAATTTTCATTTCATACAGATGGGTAATGCGTTTCGGTAGGTGCTAATGCTTACATGCCAAATGCAAATTTCCCATCATTAGGGAAGCATATCATTTTAGTATATAGTAAACTCATCTAAATTGTGACAAAGCCATAATATTTACACTCCAATGATGTGTAAAGCTGGAACAGAATAAAGTATTTCAACAAAAATTAAACACATTAGCTTTACAGTATCCAAACCTTTTTTCATACTGGAAGAGTCAGACACAAGTTATATCTGATGAACTCTCTGGGTAAGTAGATTGACGAAAATCCCATTAAGCTAATTACAACACGTAAACACTTTTTCATTCCATGGAAGCGAATACTACAAAAACACCTACAGTAGGAACAATAATACACCTACATCTTGTACTTCTTTCATTTATCTCATGGTAATTCCTCTAATGCATAGAAGTGATTATGGAAAATTACTTGTTTGGAAAATTCAAGTCTCAGCAATTCTTCAGACATGTTCATTTGTGTGGTATGAGTGGCCATTACTCACCCTTAATGTGTGGTGATGAAGAATGGGTTTTCTTTTCTTTCCTCCGCTCTTTCTCACCAAAGGAATTGTTATTTATTGTGTCCTGCGATTAAAGTAAAAAAATGAGGGATAGGTTTTTCAATATACAAAATGCTGAGAGAGTCAGTTTTGTTTAGATTAACACTTGCAAAAAAATATACCAAAACTAAATATGATAAATTTTTTGCATAGCTGTTTTATATTTCTAAAATAAATAAATAAAAAGGTAAAAAATTACACTAAAACACAGACAGACATGTACATCCCTCCATCTTGGATAAATCATGTGATTTTGTCAGCATTACTAATTGTCACCACATTTTAGGTGCTTTTCTATCATATAGTGAAACAGAAACTATATTTGACTAGTCCATAAAACGAGAGAGTTACAGGAAGAGCAATCTGACCAATAGATTTACTGCTCTTTCCTGACGCTGACACACGAATTGACCACGCTATAATGCACCTTTAACACTGACACTCCTATGTTGTCATAGCAACGCGCCCAATTGATGATGCAGGAATTGGCATGCGTGAGAGCATGTCAGTGTGTGCGTAAGTGTGGGGGTAGATGGGAACACACAGTAGTGTTCGTGATGGAGAAAGACGACACAGATGGCTGATAACTAGTTTTACTTGATCTTAGTGCTGCGTTCGACACTATAGATCATGACATACTCATAGATCGATTACAAAACTATACAGGTATTCAAGGGCAGGCTTTAAGATGGTTTAGATTCTACCTGTCCGATCAAAAGACAGTACACAGAATCTCTTGGATTACAATTTGCAACTAGACGGGTGTACTGTTACTTCCTCTACAGTCAAAAATCTGGGTGTTATATTAGATAGGAACTTGTCTTTTGAAAATCATATTTCCTATGTTACAAAAACAGCATTCTTCCATCTTAGAAACATTGCCAAGTTATGAAACATGTTACCTGTTTCTGATGCAGAAAAGCTAGTTCATGCATTCATGACCTCTAGACTGGACTATTGTAATGCACTGCTAGGTGGTTGTCCTGCATCTTCAATAAACAAGCTACAGGTAGTCCAAAATGCAGCAGCTAGAGTCCTTACCAGGTCAAGAAAATATTATCATATTACCCCAATTTTACAGTCTCTGCACTGGCTACCTATTAAGTTCCGTATCAGTTACAAAATATTATTACTTGCCTATAAGGTCCTTAATGGGTTAGCTCCTATTACTGGACTACTTCTGCCCAAACATATAATTTCAATAGGAAATATGCCATCAAAAGAAAAAAAATGCAAGTTAATTTATTTAATGGGGTCTTTAAACAGTCAAAAGGCAGCCAGTTTTAATACTTATCCACAAAATTCAATCAAATCCAAATAAATTAATTAAAAAAAATGTCCCTCTTATGACAATAATGTGAAATTGTCAAATTCATCAAGACTTGACCCTATTTAGTTTCTTAATGCACATTCCTGGTGCATAAATCATTGGTGCATGTTATTTTAAGTAAGAAAAAAAATTTCTTTATAAACTTTTATCAAAATGAACATAACTTGCTCTGCATCTAAAACGACCTTACTTTTTGGATGAGATCACAAAGCCCCTCCAATTCCATTCAGGTATGCCATGACCACTTTTAAAAATATTTCCTCGTAAATCAAGTCTTTACATTTTTAACGGTTGAATATCCCATTTCTCTCAGAAATGTGTCAGATTACAGAAGTGATAGAAATAAGTTGTCAATAGCGCTTCACATTGATTCTTAGGGTTTCAGCCATAGACTGTAAAAAAAGATGGACGACGCGTCTCCACTTCCTTCCACTATAGAAAAGTGAAGCCAAAGCATCTCAGTATGGCCGCTGCCATCTTGAGCAAATGACGTCATTTAGAGCCAGAGTCTGCGCAGTAGAGATTTGTTTGGAGCCAGAGTCTGCGCAGTAGTGTCTTGAGGTGGAGCCGTGGTATCAAACTCCAGCAGACCCAATCAACCATAACGACACACCCCGTTTTTATAGCATCAAAAAAACTAACAATTGAACATATATCAGATAACAACTACCTTAAATGACCAAAACCATATTTCGGAAAATTGTATTGGAAATGTAATTTATTTTTTTTATTTTGACTCAAGTCAGCCACCAGGGGCGATCAAAGAGTCCGCAACTTTTCAGGATGTGTGAGGCACACCCGGTTTCAGCCAACACCCAGGTCTAAAATATTACCGTCGCAATGTAGATATTTTTAGAGCAGACTTTCTTATGGTTTTACTTGTATTACCCAATAACTCTGTTCTCTTTCTGTTGAAAAGCTCTTTGCTAATTCCTCAAATGCCCTTTGAGCCCAGCGGCTGTGCCAATGCTGCAGACGTGGAGAGATTCGACAAGCCAAGATTATGAGATTAAAGACAGGACAGCACATTTACAGTCATCCATTATCTTCTCTGATCGTAAAACAGTCTGCCGACCTGTAAATGATACAGTGTGCTCAAAGATTCAAGCAAAAGCCTGTTTTTTTTACACAAGCAACTACGAGGTTTCATGTCACCTCATAATAACCAGTTGGGAAAGTAATTCGATATAATACAAGTGGGCTGTTTCAATATATCCGGTGATTTGGGAATTCATGACACTGGACTGGCCAGCACTAATGCTATAAGATGGTATATTATAATTTATTCTAATAGTAATTATGCTGCAATTACTGCAGAACAACCTGATTAAACTGCATTATGTTAAATGTGCATTTTTAGCTCAGCGCAGGTTAAAGAAGAACATTCTTTCATCACTTACTCACCCTCATGTCATTCCAAACTTGTATTAATGACCTGTATTAAATCAATAATGAGATCAGAAGATCTGGAATAAAGTACTTTTTGACACTTTTAATATATGCAATAGAGCAGCTGGAACATTCAGCAAAATGTCTCCCTTTGTGTTCTATGAAAGATAGAAGTTTGAATTTACTAAATGGTTAGTAAATGATGACAATATTCATTTAAACTGTGTTGAGTTGAAAATACGGAACATATAAAACCATTATTTCTAGAATCTTTATGATCATAAATGTCTTTTTGAAAAAACTCGGAGCAATATTGAAAATGACAGCAAGCAGCATTAGCAAATACAATTTCAGCTAAACTAAAGGTCATTTTGAGTTCAGTACAGGGCTGGGAGTCTTTTCAGGAGATCAGTGCTGGGCCATTACTTAAATCATTTAGTTTCCTCAGCCTCATTACCCATGATGCACTTCAAAACTCAGATAGAAAGAAGCATAGGCGGAGTGTGAACCAACTCCAGGGTAAGGCTAGAAGCAGCCAAATATATTAACTACAAACATCATAAACCCGTCTTTTTAGGCAAGAACCAGACACGGGTGTCATGTAGGATAATAAAATGTTTAATGGGACTGAATTTGTATTTAATGTGATTACAATTTAATTAAAACATTATAAATTGATAATTATATAACGTTTCCTTTCCACGGTTATTCAAACGGCGAATAAATTATGTACAGAAATGACATTTTCACTAACTTTGATCTATCGCACTCTCAGAAAACAAAACTATGTTATAACCACTGAAGCTGTCTACACTGCGAAATGAATCCCTTACTTACACTGAACGAGCATCTGCGCTTTGTTGTTTATGATGAGGGAAGTCGCGGAATTCAGTCAGCGAACGCGCGCGCATTCAACAAAGCTGATGAACTTCAGCGATGACTGATCTGAACGCCTCTGATTGGCCATTGCATTCCTAAGCTCAACAGAACCGTGTGTGATTGGTTCAAATGCGCAACACTGTAAAAACGTCTAAAATGAAATACGGTGCAACACGAGCAAATCTTAATATAATGCGCAGTCGACACTTTCGATTCATTTACACTTTTTTTGTTAGCAACAGACGTAATACATTTAATTTGTTTGTGCAGGGGCATTTTTTGCCCCAAGACCGAAGACCCCCTAAGCCTTCCCCAGCCTTACACACTCTCCGCCTATGGAAAGAAGACTCAAAAAGTAATATCAGTGTTATACTATTTCTATATCATTATAGTATTTAATACTTTTTTTGTATAATATTATGGCACTTAATGCATTTTAGTTTGTTTTAGTAATATTGTTATGTGTTTTTGTCATCATAATTATTTTTTTATTATTATTTTAAAATATGTTTAACTATTTTATTTTATTTTTTTCAGTTTTAGTTTAGTAATATTGGGACTTAAACTTATTTCGGTTAATTCCCAAGGCAACATTTCAGATAAAAAAAAAATATATATATATATATTTTTTTATCTAATATTTATTTTAAGGTTCATTTCAATTACCAGAAACTATTTTTAATAGTTTTACTTTGATTTAACACTAACAACACTAGGTAAGATTATGCACACTAATAAGAAAGTAACACTTTTTAACACATTTATAATGTTAAAAACTGAGACAACATGCCCCGGTCTCTTCTAACATGATATATAAATCAACAAGTTATCTAGAGTAGCTAGCCCAAAAATGTCAACATGTCAATCACAACCCTTTCAAAAAGAGCACCACACGACATCCAAAAAACAGGGTTTTTACTCCCACCTCGTTATATAATAGAATGGGATTAAATACATAAAGGATATTTGTGTTGTTTAACATTTAATTATTACAGGTTTGCGTCATATTCTGAGTTGCATTATTTTTATTCATTTTGAGGAATACTGAATCTGTGTGTTTTGTGTGAGTGAGATGAATTAATGCATATTCATATTTATTTCGAACTACAGTAACATCTTCTGATTTCTTTCAACATGGGGACAGGAGAGCTGTCAATCAATAAATTGGTAAAAAAAGTAACTTGCTTTACTTATTTGAAAAAGTAACTCAGATATTCTCTTGTAAATTAAAAAGTAATGCGTTACTTTACTAGTTACTTGAAAAAAGTAATCTGATTACGTAACGTAATGCGTTACCCCCAACACTGCTAATAATCACATAAAAAGTTGTGAAATTATACATGAGGGATTTTTAAGTGGTTAAGTGATAAAAAGTCAGATGTGATTGACTTTGACAGCTTCCCTCAGTGTTCATGTCAAATGCTAATGCTAATTGACTCTGAACACAACAGTCTCTTGTGACCTCACTCACTCACTCATACGAATACTAAAATTCTCAATCTATACACATATTTGGACACAGATGATGTGCCTTTGACCTAGAAATCTATTTTTGCTGTGGGGTAAACAGCTCGCCAAGCTCTGCACTGTCAGATGACTCCTCATTCAGTTCCAGACTGTGTCTCATGGAAAGATAAGTGACTGTTTGGTTTTAGGGTGGAGATAAACCACATATACACGTTTTACTTTGTGGTTAGGACCGCCTGTTGACATCTACTCTTTTTGAATTAAGATAACTGTGATTAGTACTATAGTCATTTTAATGAAAGGAGGACACAAAGGAGGTCAAAAATGGAAGGGATAGATCATGCAAAAGTCAACTCTGGTCATCATTTACTCACCCTCATGTCATTTTTAAACCCATTTGACTTTTTGTTCATAAAAAGCAAAAGAAAATGTTTTACAGAATGTCCAAGCTGCTCCTTTATACACACTTAGAGTTGGTGACTGATGTTTGCCTAACATTATCTTTTGTTTTCTACATAAAATGATTTTGTAGTTGTAAATAAATCTAACGTTAAGTGTAAGGTTTGACTTCTGAACTAGTCTAATGTAGTGAGCTGTAAGTTCATACCTGGATTTTAGCCCACTGGAGATTAGCTACAGGCTCAGAGCAGATGTTAATTAACCCATATAGGCATGTACAAGTGGTGCTTTGGCACACCTCCCAAAAATTAGAGTAAACCCTGACACCACAATATATATTCAGTTAGACAGTAAGACTTGTAATGTTTTTTTAAGAAGTCTCTTATGCTCATCAAGGCTGCATTTATTTGATCAAAAATATAGAAAAACTGTAATCTTGCAAAATGGTATTACAATATAAAATAATGGTTTCTATTTTAATATACTTTAAAATATAATTTATTTCTGTGATGCAAAGCTGAATTTCCATCAGCCATTACTCCAGTCTAAAGTGTCACATGATCCTTCAGAAATCATTCTAATATACTGATTTATTATTAGAATTATCAATGTTGGCAACAGTTGTGCTGCCAAATATTTTTTTGGAAACTGCAATACTTTTTTCGGGATTCTTTGATTAATAAAAAGTTAAAAAGAACAGCATTTATTCAAAATATAAATCTTTTCTAACAATATAAATCTTTGCTATCACTTCTTATCAATTTAACACATCCTTGCTGAATAAAAGTTTTAATCAAAAAAAATGTACTGACCCCAAACTTTTGAACGGTAGTGTATATTGTTAGAAAATATTTATATTTTAAATAAATGCTCTTTTTTTGTTTTATTTTTATACTTTTTATTCATCAAAGAATCCTGAAAAACAGTATCACAGGTTCCAAAAAAATATTAAGCAGCACAACAGTTTCCAGCACTGATAATAAATCAGCATATTAGAATGATTTCTGAAGGATC